CTCGGCGAGAGGCGCGACAACATACTTCATACCATGGTCCCGCTGTCCGCCATCTGCCGCCAGGGTTCCGCAAGGTACAGGCGCCTCCCATCGCGGGGGAAGGGCGTGACCTCGTTGGGAATCCTGACTTCGACGGGCGACACCCACGGCGCCTCCTCCACCCTCCATTGCGCTTCCTGTAGGTGAAAATTCCCCTTGAAGGGGGCTGCCTCGGGCATCTGTTGTATGAAATTTTTGAAGAGGGTCGAATCCTCAGCACCAAGACGCATGCGAGCAGAGATCTTTGCGATCGAGCCGTTCACGCTGTAAGGTTGAAATTGAGAAGCATAAATCAAAAAATATTAATAGAATCAGTCTCAGCTAGGAACGACAACGTTCATTGCGTCATTCTGTTTTACAGGTATGCATCTTCATATCAGTTCGTGTTCTTGACCATGCCTCCAATCACCATCTCTCTCCGCCTTCACTACCCCCACCTTCGAAGCCATTTTTGCTAGTGTCCACAACCGGTAGGCGGAGCATGTGACCGTATTGCACGGATGAACGCTGGCTTTCCACTTCTACAATAGAGACTGCCATCGTGTCCTCGTCGACGACTCGATATGTGACGGTAGTCGAGCGATCATAAGACCGGAAATTGAGAGTTGCCACGGAGATACTTGGCAAAAACCAGCCATGGCATTTGTGCTCTATTGGTTGTAATTGAAAATGTCAAAACAAAAATAAGTACTTTTGATTTGCGTTTTATTTTTTTAGCAGCTCGTAGTGAGACCAATTTATCCAGAACAGACGTTTCCCGTTCCCGCCGCCTCGAATCCTCATACCTTCGAACCGCCATTCTAGATTTGTAATGTCCGGATCCTGCATAAAATGCATGCAGAAGCCTAATTTCAAATCTTCCTCCTCCAAAGATCGGCCAAATTTCCAATTGAGAAACTGGAATTTGGAGGTAAAATAAAGGAGAAATAAATATGGAGTTAATATGCTCGAAACCAATGAAGAACAGTCATCCTTGCCCCTCCAGCGCCTGATTTCCAAACATTTCATGCATCAAGAACGTTTCGTTTACTCGCAAATCGTCAAACATAAGTTATTGGATCATATTTCGTTCATTAAAGCCTGCTTATCGTCGGATTATGCCTGCCATACTCTGCCCACAAGATAAAGCAACATCAAAGCACCCTCAATCCAATAATCGCCCTTACATAAGTCGGTGGTTCAGCAGCCACTCCCACGGCGTGCTCAATCACCACCACTGAGTTGGATGTGCGTTGATGCTCGTAGCTTTTTCCGAATTCTCGACACTCGAGCGTGCGCTTCCAAGGTCCAAGAAGATACGCCCCGAAATCCCCTCCAGGGACCTGGTAGACCAGGGTGGCCGTCATGGCAGAGAAATGTGAGGCCCTTGGATGCGTGTGTTTGGGCTTGTTTGCTTATATTAGCCTGTCCTCTGGGATCTCCTCACAGCAAATCAGTTCGTTGCGAGCCAACTTAGTTCCTTTTCGAAGAGATGCAGGCTTGCAACTCATTCAAAACGACCAGATGCCCCCATTCACTGTGAAAAGTGTATCAGACGTTAGACCTCCGAGTAAATAAGGTACTTTTGAGCTCGAAAAGGTCAAAATCGAAGTGTTTTTGTCAACCAAGGGGCGAGTTGAGTCCAGCTTTGATCGTCAGCGTGGCTTCGCCAAATTGGAGGGTCGCCTTACAGACGCCCTACAGCCAGGCTGGCAAGTGCTGACATATTCCGTCTTAACGTTTGAAAAGCCGAAGATGTCATCTTCGTGGGTGTTTGTAAATTGTATTGCGCCTCGATGCTGACATTCATTTCTCCCTTTCGTATTGTCCCCGTATCTTGAAGGGGCATGAAGGCACAAAGCCGAGCCCGTGCACGCCATCAGATGACTTAAAGACTTCGAGGCGACGGCTGTGTGCGTTTAAGAATTATGTTTGCACATGATGTTGGCGAATATTGCCATTGTTCTATGATTCGCTATCTTCCCCTCCACGCAACATGTGCAGTGGCATTTTCTAACGATGACATCCCAACGGCGTTCAGCAGCGGCACTACCGCAACGGATGCGACACTACGCATCGTGACCAAGGCGGGAGCAGAGAAACCGATGGAGATATGCGCGCTGCTGAATGCCGCTTCGATGTCACCGTTCGAAGACGTCGCCCACATTATTCTCCCTCCTTCTGGGTTTGGGCGGGCCCCTGCCTAACTTCGTGGCTCAAGTGGAGCTAGTTCGAGGTCCTGAAAAAGTACCTCCCAACCCTACCACCCAACTTGCTCGTGTCCATTGCGTTTGAAAGATGGCGTCCCCACGAAGTGCAAAAACCATAAGAGATGGGAAGCAATAGCTATCCAAATTTGGTGTATATCTTAGGCTGTAAAAATCGATAGCTCCACTCTAAATGCATCAACTAGATAGCAAGCAATGTACAATGATTTTCGCAACAAAATCACACAGAAAACCATCTTTGTTCGTATGCTCTTTTGTCAAATGATTAATTCAGAGAAGAGTAACCTCAATTATTTGGCTTAACACCCTTCTCCCAGACTTGACATGCACACAACTTCACTTGCCTTCAGGTCACGGTAATGCCAGAAAGACGAGTATCACCTATCGCACGTTATAATTTCTCCAAATTGATCCCAATATTGGTAACGGAGAAAATGCTGTTGCAACCCCTGACCAAATGGAGCTTATCAGCTGAAAAACGGCATAAAAGCTTAGCAGGTGTGCCAGCCAATGGATAGTCACAAGAATCGTTTCGACGGAGACCAAGTCTTGCCGAGTGTCTTGAAGACTCCATGATGAGGTCAAAAATCTCGAGCGATAGTCATCATAAGATGGCATCCTCTCAAACCAAAGGGCAAAGACATTGAGAGATATCGCCGCTACGCTGCAAAGGTACAAAAAGGTCTTCTCCTTCAGTACCACAAGTATACCAAACAATGCCCAGACGAGTATCCATGCAATGACGTCCCGATTAATCATGGCCTCAACCATTAAATCGTCTCCAAGCGACTCCTTCCCTACATCGCCTTTCCCGTTTGTAAAACGTTGTTGTATTGCTGTGTGAACTATTGAATCCTCTTGTGTTTGCTTCCATATTATGTCTTGCTCATCATTTTTGACATCAAAAGTTACGAAGCAATATCTACTTTGAGTGTCCCCAAAAAGTATTTCGCTTTCCTCCGACTTACTTTTAGCGTCTGCATATTGATCTTCGATGCACTCAACATTTGATTTTGGAGGAGTTTCCGACCGCTGATTGGAATCCCCTTCTCCTCCCAAACTTTGGGACTGACTAGCCTGTTCCACCCGAGGTAAAATCTGGTCATGCTTAAAGATAAAATTTTCGCTGCAGCGCTTAAATGCCTGGCAACGTATGACCCATTCATGTATTATGTTCAAATGGACCTTGCCTTTATGTGCATACTCATTTTCCTCGTATTCGGTGTTTCCCTGTGTGTAGCAAGCCACGTCACTCAGCACAATATCCAACGTGGATGGACCGCAGAAAAACACCGCACTGCTTAGGGCTGCAATACCTGCTATACCAAAAGCCACCTTGTGGCTCTGTACTTGGCCAATGCTAGCTTGAAAAAGTCTACCAACTTGTCCGGCGGGATCGCGTGTGAGTCTCGCTACCTCTTGCGCCATGCCGCTCAGCCTTTCATATATATCAACGCTCCGAAGAATGCCAGTCTTAGCTGTCTTGACAACTAGATTATTTACGAATGCAACGTCTCCTGGCTGCTGCAATTCAGCTCTCGCGGCAAAATCTGGTGCTGCTAATTGTGTTCGCACTTGCTCAGCTGCCATTCCTATAATAATGGGTTGACCGGCACCACTGCGGGTAGTAACTGCAGCACCTTTTTTGATCAAAGTATTCCATATAATGGACCACATACAGAAATTCAAACTTGTTGTGATGGGTCCATTACACGGTGTTCCTATCTTCATCTTGACGCTGCTCGCCTTTCCGAGGTGCTGTGTAATGTGTGGAGATGTATTCTTGTTCTGAAAGGTGTCGAGGTGAGAGCCTAAAAGAAAAGTCCAACACTTTGATGAAAATATTTTGCTTTTACATCCCTCTTCATCATTGGTCTTCATCGCAAGGCTTCTCATCGGCTCTACAACACACATGTCGCTGTGCAACCTCCCACCCATAGCACACGTGCTGCGTCTCCCAAGCCATTTTATTTCTTTTGGGTGATTCCACGAGAGCCATGCCAAAAATATAATGTGGTAGACTCAATTCTAGTTGCTCATGTGGAATGAAGAGTCAGCCCTGCCATATCAACCCTCAGTCCCACTGCCTTAGGTGGGTTGGAAGGATCGAGCTCGGCTTTTGAAAAATAACGGTTGAGTATCAACCACCCCCTCCGCCGCCTATGGTAAATAGAAAATGGCTTGCTCGCTTCCCGTCGAGCTTTTCTGCTAATATTGAGTTACTTTGGCTTATCAACATTTTTATTACGTCATGATGTGCACGACATAGCAGGCGAAGGATCAAGTCAGGTTTTCCATCGCAGAGCGGCGACACATCAGTATCCTTCGACGCTTGTGAGCTTCCCAGCGACCGTCGGGCTACATACATAAAGTTGATCAATTGTGGCATTTCATAAGATAATGTCGAACTGGGAGCGCCTTCAGATCAAAATCTTAAAGGCTGAAGAAGAACGGGTCAAGAAAAAGGCTGCAGCGTCGAATATCGGAGCTGGTACCTCCCAGAAGCCATCAATGTCTGATTTATCCCAAGGGAAGCCGACACAGATTGCACGCTCTGCTCCAAAACACAAAAGAAAGCGGCGAGAGATATCAGAGGCTGTACGAGAGGCTGAAAGAGCGCGAGAAGCAGGGAAAGAAAAAGAGGATCGGCTTCGATCTCTAACGCTAAGCGCGGACGATATGACAGTGATGGAGAAATCTTTGTACGTAGGTTTGGACTGTGAAATGGTTGGAGTGGGCGATGGAGGCAAGAGAAGTGCTCTGGCACGTGTTACACTGGTGGATTTCGATGGCCGTGTCATCTATGACGAGCATGTCAGACCTAGGGAGCGTATCACAGACTTTCGTACTTGGGTGAGCGGGGTAAAAGCCAAGCACTTGAAAGCGGCGCTGTCCCTTAAGGAATGCATCCTGCAAGTCGCTGATTTAGTAAAGGGGAAGATTATCGTGGGACACGCCCTCAAAAACGATTTACAAGTCTTGATGCTTCAGCATCCCGTAGCGATGATTCGAGACACGGCCAGATACCGTGCCTATATGCGATCGCACGGAAAGGAGGGTGGGAAGCTCCGTCCAAGACGTTTGAAAGATCTGGCGCTTGATTTTTTGGGTATGGAAATTCAAGAAGGGAAGCACGACTCTGCGGATGATGCCCGTGCAGCCATGTTACTTTATCGCGCTCAACGAACAGAGTGGGAGAAAGAGCTAAGGAAGACGCACTTGCATAGGTACACGAAAGCCAATGGAAAGAAAAAGCGCAATCTTAGAGATGGGGTGCAGGCACCTTAGATAAAAAGAACATGCATTTCGAACACAAATCGGTGTACTTGGAGGGAAGCACTCTAATTTCCAGAATTTTGTGGCTGTAGGCAGCTTTGTTAAAGTTCATTGCGCAGAATCTTGGCTCGAATGCGCGCCATAAGCCCATTCATGTATGCGATGTTGTGTATGCTAAGCAATGTTGCGCTCAAGGGCTCAAATGCCCGGTAAAGGTGATGCAAATATGCACGACTGTGTCTCTTGCAGGTGAAGCACTCACAACCCTCCTCCAGCGGCCGCAAATCCTCCTTGTGCACCTGTTTCCGAATGTACACAGGCCCTTGCTGGGTCAAGAGCGTCCCATGACGTGCAATACGCGTGGGAAAACAGGAATCGAATGTATCCACCCCCAAGGCGGCACCCGCCCAGATGGATGGTTCGTCGGCGATCCCTAGCAAATGGTTGGGCTTATCCACGGGCAAATGTGGCATAGTCACCCGCAGGACCTCGATCAGCTCGTCCCTGTCCTTGCCCAAGGCTCCTCCGACTGCAAATCCATCGAAAGGAAGTCCAGTCAGGTACTCACAGCTGGCTTTGCGCAGGGTAGGGTCGACGCCCCCGTGAATAACAGCGTACATGGCTTGTTGTCGCACGTCTTTCAAATGCTCCTTAAGGGACCGGGCCTCCCACCGATGTGAACGCAGGACACAGCGAAGAAGGGCCTCGGAGTCGATGTGGTATGGATGCAACTCGTCCAGGGGGATGATGATGTCGGACCCGTAGGCTTTTTGGGCTTGTACGGACGATTCCGGTGTCAGGAGGACCTTACGGCCATCCCGGTAAGATCGGAAAAGACAGCCTTCTTCGCTTATTTTCAGAACAGACGACGTCTCTGATCGATGTCGATTGCTGCGCGATTTCATATTTAGCTCATCGAAGACGGAGCCGTGCGCGAGGGAAAACACCTGAAAGCCTCCACTGTCTGTGATGATGGGACGGTTCCGGTTGACGAATTTGTGAAGCCCACCACAAGCCTTGATGACGTCAGGGCCAGGCTGTAGGAGCAGATGGTAAGTGTTGCAGAAGGTGAGTTCTTGGCCTGCTTGGTTTCCCCAGTCGTGGTCGACGGCTTTTAGGGCACCATTGGTCGCAACTGCCACGAAACCTGGAGTATTTACATTGCCATGCGGAGTATGTAAACGCCCGACCCGTGCGCGCGATCCCTCCTTACTGGATCGGTGTAAGAGTTCGAATCGAAAGAAATCTTTGCGTTCGTAGACGGGGAATGAGTCCGGGGCAGGAGGAGGGGTCATCGGGTCAACTTTGACTTTCCGCTTCTTGACCTTTTTAGGGAGGACCAGTGGGGTTTGCTCAAACGCCGTCGGGGTGTTTGTAGTGCAGCAGCGTTTCAAAGCATATACCGTGCGACGATGGACGCGTAAAGGGTACCGTCTTGCCACACAAGGCACACGAAGTACGAGATACACCATGTTGTGGGGACCACGGGGTTGGACAGGGCAACGTATGCGTCTTGTGGTGGTAGCAGACTGACCGGTGAAAGAAAGCCAAAAAGACGAGGACTGAAGGCCAAAATACTTCCGATGTCGTAACTATCAGCTGTTTTACTCCCGCAGCCTTGATTTTTCCTGCTTTTGGCGCCACACAAAAATGTTTATTAGCTCATGGACGATGCTGCTAGTGTGCGGTTCAGGGTTGTACTCGGTACTTGCCAAAATGAGCCCTCGCTGTTTTCGCTTACAAGAAAGTTGGCAGCGAATCACAAATCTGGCACAAAGTATGCTTGGTACTAGCGTGATCATTACGACATAGCCAATAGAATGTTTAAGAAAAGGGCTGAGGTCGAGCGTGTGTAATTAGAAAAGGCGGCCGATCATCTTTGCCGTTAAGTCGCTCGAGGAAAGGCCTTACCGCAGAGACTGACGAAGGTCGGGCATCGCATTGATGTTTATGTCCTTTCAGACTCTGTCCATGTAGTAGCTCTTTAATTCCTTCAAAATTGTTGTCGTTTTCTGCTGAATTAAATCACAGCTTTAGTCAATCTTTTCTCCAGCTTCAGCCCTGTGCCTCAGGAGCTGACTCATAGACTCATAGACTGTAAATTATGAATGTATAACTTACATCCCGCGCGTAAAAGCACAGAACTTCGTACCTACTTCGCTACCATGACCGCATCAAACGTAGCCCGCGCCATAGGCAAGCTGCAGCCGAAGACCACAACTTTCCTGCTTTGCGATGTTCAAGAGCGGTTCCGCGATGTGATTTGGCACTTCCCCCAGGTCAGTATGATCGATGTTTCTCGCTGGGGGGGAATCACAAAAATGAAATGTACGCGAGCAACGCATAAGTCGGGTTGACAAGGATCTCCATCCCGCTCCCTTCTACCCACGGACAAGGTAATCCGCACGGCCAAGTTCATGACGGCAGTCGGTCAAGAGTTACAGATCCCTACCTTAGCCTCAGAGCAGTATCCCAAAGCCTTTGGCGCCACGGTATGTTTGAAGCGGCGTTTATTGCGGTCGGGAGGCGGGGGACATATATAGAACTGATTGAATTTTGAGTTGTTGGGGCCTTCCCGGTTGTTGAGGGCATGGATGGGTATTCCCATCTACACCCCCCGATTGGCCTTCGTACCAGACGATGTGATTGGCATGCGCTAGCTTGTGCACGGCACGCACGTGCTTACTTGCGCATCAACAAATACAATCGATCAGGTCCCCGAGCTGAAGGCTGCCGCCGTTGACTACTGCATCCCGACCTTTGAGAAGAAGATGTTCAGTATGCTTACCGACGAGTTGAAGGCGCAAATGCAGTGTGAGCCTGAGCGCAAGACCGTGGTCTTGTTCGGGATCGAGGCCCACGTCTGCGTGCAGCAAACCGCCCTGGACCTGCTAGAGCAAGGTTACGCCGTGCACATTCTTGTGGACGGCGTCTCGTCCCAGAAAGCGCATGATCGTGCGGTGGCCTTGCGCAGGATGGAAAAGGCAGGCGCATTTTTGACGACGGCAGAGAGTTTAGTCTTTATGCTGATGCAGACTGCGTCGCATCCGCAGTTCAAGACAATTTCCTTTTTGATCAAGGAGCATGCCGGAGAACCCAATCCCTTCAATGATTTATTGAAAGAAAATTCAGCGCTTTGAATAATCAGAGCTTAGTTTTTGATTGAATTACATGGGATTTAGGAGAATGGTGGAGAAAATGACCATTTCGAGAGCTATGACAGCACAATGATGGGATGTAACCTTCAGCAGCGTGGAAAAATGTGCCTTGAAGAGCAAGAGATGGAATCCTCAAAAAGGGTACTTTTTACCAAAAATGCACTCAAGCTTTATTTGGCTCCCTGCGCCTGGGCTCAAGCCAAGGACAGGGTCATTTTCATACTTTTCTGCGTATTACTTGACCATCTCGACGTTTGTCTGGTTTTCCTGTTCGGCGAGGGGGAGGGCGAGGAAATCCCATCCCAGGCCGATATACTATAGACATGGGACGCCAGCAAGTGTCCTTTCACTTGCTGAGAGCATGAAATTCTGTTGCGATCCTCTAACAAAGTTTATTGCGTGGCTGATGAGGTGACGGGACTCAGTAGGAATTATCATGCTTACTCTGCCGTCCCAAACGTCAAGATACTTCCCAAAAACCACATCAACAGGGAAGCGACTGTCATATCGCATCACTAAGCCCGTTCGATCTGCCCGCCACCTGGAGCAGCTGCATATGCTACGAGCTATTTTCCCCCGTGCACTCCTAATATCGCCTCTCACGGCGTCGGTCCGTCTATCCCGCCAAGTCCTTGTTGCATCTCTCTCCTCCGCCTCTTCAAGACCAGGGCAAGGACAACTTCCGCCGTCTTCTTCCCGTTGGTTGACAGCGAAGCAAGCAACAACAGTCTTGACTGCAGTTACCGCACTCTCTGCAGCAGCAGCGGCAGTTGCATGGTGTGAGACTGAGGAGATAAACGATGAGCGGGCGATGCCCGTGACAGGAGCGGTGGAGGGAGTGCCAATCAAGGCCGACCTTACGAATCAAGAATACAAGCTTGCGCGGCAGAATACAACCAGAAAGGTCAAAAATCATTATCAGTATGTAATCATGGGCGCAGGTACTACGGCCTATGCAGCCATCGAGACCATTTTCAACCGGCAGCCACAAGCCGACATATTGCTCATCTCTAACGAGGCTGCTTTACCCCAGCCAGACGTTTTCAGGCACCACGCCTTGTCCGCACCGCTGTTGCATTCCTACAATGAATGGCGCCGCCACACTACTTCGAAGCTCGAGTCCGAGCCCGATGCAATTTCTTCGGCGCCCATCACGCTGCTTCTAAACAACGAGAAATCCTTGCAGCTCGATGTCGATAAGCAGCGCATCCTGCTTCAAGATGGCTCTTACATTACCTACGACCGTTGCCTAATTGCCACGGCAGGGAAAGATCGGGGTTTGTGGGCTGTGGACCGGCGGAAGATCTCCTATTCCCTACGCGACCGCATTAACACCTGCAGCACCATATACGATTTTGAGCAGCTGGACAGCCTGCACAACATCATGGCGAACAAGCACGTGTCTGTCGTGGGCGGGGGATTTCTGGGGACCGAGCTGGCTTTGGCCCTGGCAGTGCGGGGACGCGAGACGGGCATGACTGTCTCGCAGATCTACGCGGAGAAAGGTCCGCTGTGTCGGTATATCCCCAACTACTTGGGGATGCACGTCCAGCGGCTGTTGCACGGTGCCGGCGTGCGCTACGTGAACGAGCGTTTGGTCACGGACGTCAAAGACGGGGGGGACGACGCCCCGGGGGCCCTGCGGATCTCCTTGATGGGATGGAACAAGGAGAACATTTACACCGATTACGCCGTCCTGGCGCCCACCCACGTCGAGCCCTGCGTGGACGTGGCGGTGAAGAGTGGGTTAGAACTCGATGCCAACACGAACGGCATTGCCGTGAATCAGCAGCTGGAGGCCGTGGGGAACGTGTTTGTGGCGGGCGGGGTAGCCAGTTACTACGACGCTGCCTTGGGGAGGCGGAGGGTGGA